ATTGAAAATTGACTGAAAACTCACTTCAAATTGTTTACACTGTGGATACAATCTTTTTCAGATAAGACTTAATAATCTTTTATCGTCAATAAAATTATAAACAGCTAAATTTATATGCGATAATAGAATATCCAGTATTATTAAGTTTGTGTTTGGGTTTGTCCCATGGGTATTTGAGTATTTTTGTGGTTACAAGTGACCCTTTTTTCTTTTTACGTTTCTTTTACTACCTGGGAATACCTAATAGTTAAGATAGGTTCAATCATTCAATATTGCTTATGTCAGTAAAATACAAAATACACACGTGATTATACTGAAGTTCAAGAAATACATGAAAATCGTGTTAACATTAATTTTGATATTAATCTATCAAAATACTTATAAATTTCAAATCATATTTTTTTTTTAATTTTTTTTTCTTTCGACCTAAAATAATGTTAGTGAAATATAAATAATATATAAACATAATATTATGAAATAAACATAACATTTTTTTCTATTTTTAATAAATTAAAATATATTTTTTTACACTTGTATTCATGTTTACAATTGTATTAAACAATAATGAAATTATTTAACTTTCGATGAAGAAAGCCTATTTAACTAATATTTTTTTTTCGCAGCTAACTAGCAAATTTATTTGTTCTATAGAAACAATGATGTAAGTCGAGTTTAAAATCTGTTAAGAAAAACGTTGATTGCTCTGAAATACCAATTAATTTCCTCACGTATATCGCTTTTATATTTCTTCAATCTGTTAGAAAAACAACAATCTATAATCAAAGAACCATTGAAAGTTTCTAAATAAAGAAATAAGAAATTATGAGTTTGGAGAAAAGTTTTTACTTGTTTAATGACTTTGTAAACTTATTAAAATGTGTAAAAGTATGATAGAACTATTAGAAATATGTTTCATAGTGTTAAATTATTAATGTGGTTTTTATTTCAATGAATGTCTTTTTCATTTGTTTAATAATATTTATTATAATATATATTTAAGCAAAATTAGGCATTTAATTTTAAAAATAATTTAACAATTAAGATTTTATTTTTAAGACATATAGAATATTAATAAATAAAAGTTTAGTTTTACTACAAAAATGAAAAAGTTTTCACATTTTAAACGAATCTTAAAAAGATTTACTCGAATCAAAATTTATAATCTGAAAATAAAGTTGTTCAAAAAAAAAAAAAAAATTAATAAAAAATAAACCATATTACTTTCTATGTTAATAAATAAAATCAATTTTATTTAGATTAAAAGTTCAAGTAATCATAATGAACGCGTATCGTTCATATGAATGATCCTATATTATATTTCTATATGTAAAATAAATATTGTGCAATAATTGTTAACCTATAGGTTATAGCCAAGTATAAAAACTATTGTGTATAAAAAAACCATTTATCTTTTTATATTTTAATAACTCATTGAAATCTTTCTTCAATAAAATTGTTTTTTTTTTTTTTTTTACAGCCTACGTATATTAGAAAATATAAGTGGAGTTTAATTTATTAAAAAAATATATAAATATTTTATGGACCTAATATAACATTTATTTGCCTATAAGTAGTAATACAATTATTCCAATGATAAATTATTTGAATAATATTTATATTATAACTCATTATTCACAATAAAAATCATATAAAAATTATAACTCATTAATCACTGGTAACTATTATCATGATATTATTATAGGGAAAAATATTGATTTTAAAAGCAGAGGTCAAGAATTGTGTTAAATATTTTAATATGTATGAAATTTTTCATATACCTATAAAAGTCATATTACATTCTATAAATTTAAATCATTATGTAAATTTAGTTTGTTTAAATAAAGTAAATGATAACTTGATAATAACTTAATAATAAATTGTGATTTGAAAAATATCAATTAATAAAACTACATTTTTTTATTTAATTTTTTCGAATTCTCTTGGTTTTATAAGTTTGAACCTAAAATACATGATCACTGATCACTGTTTATTACACAGAAACAATAGTAATATGAATTTAACATTAATATCCTAGTTTCCACATTGTGTTATAACTTATAACTCGTAATGTTGCTTATAGATGACTAATCACGTTTTAGTCGTATTACTAATCGGTAATCATATAATATTTACTAATTACACTGAATATACAATATAGATGTATTTGTAGGTGATCAAGACTAATTGATTATTGTTTATATTAAATAACTTATACAATAATAACATTTATTGATGTTTTTAAACAAAATGACTAAATCGTTAGAATAAAAAATAATTGGTTATAAAAAGAAAAATACACATTTTTTAAATTGCTAGATAGTTTAAGTTTATTTTCACCAATGATACTCATCAATATCATTGATGCAGATATAGAGTATTTGCTATATTTATTTAAATATATTTGCGATTGGGGATGAGTATAATTTTTCCATTTTGGTACAGTATTGATGTTGTTAATTGCTTTAGTACCTATAATCCGCGAATAAAAAATATAACTGTATAATTTTTAACTATTAAATGTCAATATTAAACAATATGATAACTATTCAAATAAGTATTCATATATTTATATTTACTATAGATTAATGATTGATATGGCCATTGATCATTAACTATTGTTATTAATTATTATTGACAGCTAAGTATGGATTTGCGTTTAGCGTCATTGTCTATCACATATAATACTGCACTGGTGTATATAATATAGAATATATTGTGTCAAAATAACTTTCAATTTTTATCTCTAGGAAATTAATTCGGCATTTACATACATTAACTAAATCATTGTACAAATGTAGACACGTACACACAAAAAAGTCTAAAAAAAAATTTTAGGTTACACAACATGTATGATAATACATACTATAACATACATACTTACAATTAGATAAAGTAACAACTTACAAAGTTTGAAAAAGTCTAAATTTGACAATGATCTCCACATGTGTAAATATAGGTTTACATAAATAAAACAAGTTGATTTATATCTGCATATTCTCTTTTGTGAGTAGGTAAATTATTTAATGAAGTTCACTTATACTAATTACCAAAATTATGCTTACTATTCGAGTTGAGCTTACAGCTTACAACAACGTTGTCCTCGTATAATCAATAATCATTAATCAGAAATACAAATATAATAAATGTCCCTTACAATTTTTAACTGAATATAGTTCGATGAATTGCTGCTTTTATATTTTTAGTTTGATATCGTGTTATAAAAGCACAAATGCCTCAGGCGTCATTAACTTGATAGATGTCGATATACCTATGCCAAACATTATGCATGTTTTTGACAAGAGTTAACTTACTATTCATTATTGTTTTAAGTGTTTTTATATAACTAGGAAATTAAAATAATCATTATCAACATATCATTATCAAGTACCTAACTGTCCAAACCTACCTTTATATACTATTTACATAATAATACACCTATGAGACCTTGGATACGTCTTAATAATATGCGAATACACAATTATAAATATTGTTAATTTTCATATGGTTTATAATTTATTATACTTAATTTTTAAATATTATTTTCTTAATAGAACACAATTTATACTATAATCAATGTTTTTAAATATTTTCACTAATTAGTTTGATATTATAGAAAGCTATAAAATTAATAAAATATAAATTTACCTAATCAATTAATATAAGTGCTAACTATAATACATGTGCTATCTTGAAACAACATGGTTTTTTTATAAATTATATTAACTTAAAATTTCGATTATAACCATTTAAACTTGTTGTATAATTTATTTAATAATGTTCAAATAATGGTAAATTTGTTCCTTTACAAGCAATATAAAAAGTATATGCAATATTTTAATAATAATATTCATAACTAAATTATACCTTTTTGTTTAGAATAACAAATTTCCGTCAGATGTAATTTTTTGAATTATTATCATTTAAAATAATAAAAACTACATTCATTTGATATAGATCAATCAAATATAATAAAACAAAATATGAATTTTATATTTTAAACAATTTCTTGCATTTTAAAATAAAGCAAATCCTCTAGCTAAATGGAAGACGTTTTTAACTTGGAAATCGTTCTGCCACTTTAGGATTTAATTGTGTACATTTTCCATGGGTATATTGTACATGAGAAATGAGAGTACATTGGTTTTATATTTTGAAAAGAGTAAAAAAAATATATGCAATACCACGAAATTACATGAATAGAATGCATTAGCAACAGGTTGGATATATCGATTGAAAGTAAAATGTTTAAATGTTTGGAATTGAAAAAGTCATTATACAGTTTTCTAAAGAAGAGTTAAAAATGCTTTTTAAAAAACATTCTGTCTCTCCTCTATTGATTACCGTTTAAAATAAACTATATAAGCCTATAATTAAATATTTTGTTAAATTGCAATTATATAATATATATTAAATATATTCTTTTCTGTTACCTCAAATAATCAAAAAGATATATTCCTGTTAATCTGGTCCTCGATTATACCGATTCAATAAGATTAAAAGGTACGATAAACAAATAATATTCCGTATGAAAAGACTTAAATTATAAAATTTAAATCTATCAGCTCTAAAATTATAGCAGATATAATGATGTTATCAGAATTTTCAAACAAAAATATAGTTTGAATTTTATTAGTATATAATACAGAGTGGGACAGTAAAACGGCCGATTTTCAAAAATAAATTATGAAATAAAAAAACTTAATATAAATAAATTATTATTTTTTATGAAGAATTATATAACTTGCTATTCATTTTTAAAAATTATGTTCTCAATAAAATGGATAAATTTAACGATAACGCATGTTTCCGTACAAAACGTCTTGAGCTCTTTATGAGAGCGGCCCTGACAGCAGTGATGTTTTCAGGCGTGTGAATGGCTTTTTTTCGTACAGGCTCCTTTTTCAATTCTGAACCCGTTTCTTCAAAGTTGGTTATCCATAATTTAATACCCTTAACCGATAGTACCGAATCATGGCGTTTAAGATTAAAATGAAGGTGAAATGAACGCTGTACGACTAGGTACGTAACTGTCATTATTTTTGTAAAACAATTTTATCGCATAAGCACGTTGTTCTCCACTCCACTGTTCCATGTTTACTAAATGGCATGTTTTTTTTTTGAACTAATAATATTTAGAGAGAATTCTTATCTTAATTACGACTGAGAAAAATTAATTTTTAAAACAGGCCGTTTTAGTGCCCCATTCTGTACAATATACTCGTACATATATTTCTAAGACATTTTGTAATTTATAATTTTAATTTTTCTAACAATAAAATAATTCTTATAAATTTCTCACTCAACTCACGATTCAGTCCTATTACTAAAATTCTCAGGCTTGAAACACTGAAGGAACAAAGGAGCACGAACTTTGCGAGGTAATAGCAGGTTTAAATGTGGTTTGAATGGTTTGATTAAAGACTAAGCTGATGTCCTACGACTATTAAAATGGTTAAAAAAAAAAAAAACAAAAAAATACTGTAATACCTATAGTAAAGTTTTATAACTCTTTTTATGACTAAGTTCCTAATTTTCTAAAAAAAATATTATAGGTCTTATAATGTAATATCTTTATTATATTTTATTCATATGTGTAAGAACATATAAGCTTGTCCACCTACCTAGCAATATTATCTATGAATTTATTTTCATCGTCAATCTCTCTTCCCCATCGCATTCAAGATGTCTACTCTACTAATATATAATATTTATAATATGATATGTATTTATGTAGGTACATAGAAAGCCAAGTAGCATAAATGTATTAAAGAAACTGAAAAAAAATAATAAATCTTAACCATAACGAACACACACTCTTTATATTCAATAAGTGCATTATAAAGTAGACGCAACAAGAAAATGTACTGTTATCGTCTACACACTGAAATATAATATTATATATATATATATATGTATGTAAAAGTAATATCGTTTTTCTATTGTGGAGAGTCATGGGTTAAAAAAAAATTGTACAGTTATATTTATTATTAATTTTTTTATTCATAAACCAATATACAGAATAATAATCCTTATACTCTAAAGATATACATTATAATAATTATCGCCGATAATATATTTTTGATGTTATTCTGATATTTATATGAAAACGCGGAAAAAAAGATTATTTATTACATTACATTGAAGAGAAGTGGATACAGTACAAATATTGTGTGGTTCACCTACATAGTTCTACCAAAGAATGAACTTTAATATTTGAGTTCTAACGAGTTTATTCAAGTCAGTTAGTTTGAATTTGAAGCATTTCTAACTATTTTTTCAAAATAGTTTTGAATGTTTTAAATGTAATGTAATAAAATAAAATAGTTAAAATTGTAATATTTTTATGTATTTTACTATTTTATAAGAAATATTTTTTCTGTGGTACTGTGGTAAACTAATAATGTTTAGACAATATTCGAAGAGAATTTATATTATAATATGAAAACATACCTAAGGGTTGGAAGTCTTTAATACTAGGAAATTTTTTTCAAACTACTTTTATTGGTTTTTCATGTGCATTTACATGAACTAAAATCGTTTTTCATTGTTAGTGATATAATAGTTTCACTGCATTTTTTTTTTTTTTTTTGCACACATTGCCAAACAATATTATTTAAACTTTTATTGGATTTAAAATAACGAAGTTATATTTATCAAAATTAATGGAACTATCTCTATAACTATTTGTAAAAAGTTTAAACATAATATTTATTTTATTCTAAATATTACATATGATAGTTCAAAGACTGAAAATTGACTGAAAACTCACTACAATTTTTACATTGTTCGTTTACAGATAAAGCTTAATAATTTCGTGAAACCTTAATTAAAATATATTTATTTATAGGTAAGTGACGATAATCATCAATACGGCTAAATTTGTATGCAGTAATGGGATATCCAGTATTATAAAATCTGTGTTGGGTTTCGTCCCATGCGTATTTTGTGCATTTGTGCGGATACGGGAAAATTTTGGACAAACCCCCAAAGGGAGGTGGGACTTGTTGCGCACGCTGAAAAGAGAGTCACATAATATTACCCTCACGGACTGATCCACGACCCATACAGAAGCGTAGTGTTCGTAACAACGTAGCACGTACCTATATATATAAACGGAAAAGTAGATTTCACTCTGTACCGTATCTTCGTTTGTACCAAACTGTTCGCGCTCTGGGTACAGGTAAGTGCTGTTAATTTTTTTTTTCAATTTTCATTTTTCTCCCTTTAAAGTTAAATTTATTTTTAAATGTAAATAGACATTTTTATTTTAAGAATGTACAATGCATAGAAAATTAATAAATGTATACATCTTATTAATTTTATTTAAATACTAGAGAGTCTAATATGTTGAAAATTAAATATATGCACAACATTTTTCAAAAGTAATAAACTAAAAAAGTCACCAATTTTTATTTATATAAACATAGCAAAACATTTAAGTTAGGAATTAATGAAAAAAAAATATTTTGCTAAAAAAAATAACAGAATACTAATACAATTAATAAATGTTGTTAGTGAAATAACAAAATCAAACATTTCAATAAATATTTAGTTCAAATGAATTCTAGTTTTCTGATTGTAACTACGATATTAAATAATAAATACAATTATTTTTCAATTAATATAAGTAAGTTTATGGTTTTTACTATTTTTAGAAGCTTTTAATAATTTATAAATGTTTTGTGTTTTTAAAGTTTTGATTTATTGGTTTGATTTTTTTTTAGACGAAATTTTAAAAATAATAATTTACAAAACCATTTTGTTCTAAATGAATTATTGTATTATATATTATAATTATGTATAAATTTAATTACGTATATTAATTTATTTTTATTATCTTTAGTTTAGCTTCATTAACTTAGGTTATTAACAAGATATTTAATGTTAATTTTGCATAATAATTAATAATAATAAATACTCACGTTTTATTAGATTAAGTTTTAAATATCAATGTATTTTAGAAATAATATAATTTTATTGCTATTGTCTTCAATTGAGCTTGGAGTTTTGAAAAGGTTGACGAAATGTATACTTTATATTGTATATTATTATAAAATTATATTTTCTGAATCAAAATAAATAATCTCTAGTAGCATGACAGAATTCAGATTAATATTGAAGAAAACATATAATTATATTTAGTTTTTGTACAATATACAATGTTCAGTATATTGATATTTACAATGATTATTATTCTTTGGTAAGGGTTTAATAAAAATGAAAATTATTTCAACAAAATATCTTTATTATTCAAAAATACCAGAAGCCTAACAAAGACCGAGAGAGGTTTAGTTTTTTCCATAAAAACCTTGTCTAACTCATACTTTTATTCTGTTTAGTTCACCTCATTATATGCTATTAATTCTTAAATTTATTCAACATTTTATTGTTCTGTAGTTTAACAGCCAATTATTAGTATTGTATGAATTCATATGGACAAATAATGTTATTAAGTAATTGGGGCTTATTATTTCAATAAATAAATAACACTATAATAATTATACATAGAAACAAAGACTTAAAAAACTAACATTCTTTAAAATTTTGAGTTTTACAAAACAAATTGTCAGTCTAATCCAATAACACAAGTTCTTATATTTTATAGTTAATTATTCATCTGATCTTCAATATTTGCAAATTAAATATATTATACAAAAATGCTTGTAAATTTTTTTTTTAATTTATCTTTATTTCGCTTCGTTAACTTGTCCATTAATGTTACAAGCATTGGCGTTATTATAATTATTAATTTATATTGTTAACATGTCGTATTTTTGAGTAAAAAATAAAAATAACAAACTTAATAAGGTATACAAAATTACATTAATAAAATTTGATAATATGGTTGTATATATTTTATGTACATAATATGGAAAAATATGACATTGTTATACTTATTATATAGTAATCACGGTAGTTATAATGATGACAACCATTATGTTCATATTTTCATAATATTGAGAATATTGTTTGTTATTTATTTAAACAAACTTATGTATAAAATAAATGGATCTTTTTAAAAAACGGTTATTTTTTTTTATTTTCAGGATTAAAACAAGATTTTTTGCTATGTGATAACTTAATTTGAGTTCTAATCTTCAAATTGCACGCATTCGATTTGTTTGATCTTTTAAGTGATATCACAAAATATGATAGGTATTTGAACGATTAATCTTTTCGTATTTCTTCATCAGAAAACCATGAGTTAGTCTTATATTCCTAATGATTGCTTGATTTAGTAATTTTTTTTTCATTTGATATGTTAATACTTGTTTTTTTTTTTTTTTTTTGTCTCTTTGATACACTTTAAGTTAGTTTATTGATTTTTTTCAGAGTTTTTTTTCATAAAAACCGCGTATTTTATTCGATTTGTATTAATTATGTTAACACTTGCAATCAACATTTTAATTTTATATCGTTAATATTTTGGTTCTAAACATCGTGTTTGAAACATTTTGAATACCGATTTTTAAAATAAAAAACACCGAGTACTTTAATACTGTGATCTATTGCTAAGGTTTAATTAAATTTGATGGGTACCAAAACGAAAATATGTTTGATAGAGATGCTCAGGTGCTAGATTTTTACCTAACATAAATTAATGCAACAGTATAAATTTATTGTTATATTATTTTATTAATGTGATTGAAATTTCACCTAATCAATTAGATTGGTTCATGGTATAATACTTAACACTTTGATATTAATAATAACAATAAAATTAATTTAAATATAAATCTAAATTTCATACAGAATCAAAAAATAAATAAATAAATAAGTCTACTCAAAGTATACACTCGGTTTTATAAAAAAATTGTGTTGACACTATTTAATTGTTTGTAAAAAATTAATAAATGTGTAATTTAAATTTGTTTATTTTGAAATAGTTTTGAAAACTTTGATAATTTTTCGATACCTTTTTCTTGTATCGTGTATTTTAGCGTAGTGATATAGGTATTTAAAATTGTACTTTTGATTTTTTTTTACCAAAAGAAATATCACTATGTAGTTCTGAATATATAATGAGTATATTATTTTGTCCATATTGAAATATTATTCTTTAGGCTTATTATTGTTAAAAATATAGTAAACGCGATTAAAATTGATTATTCTAATTTTGAATTCATTAAATCAGTATTAACTTAGCTTTTTAACAACTCGTTCATTTGCTGAAAATAATAGTAATATTATTTTGTATTTATCCAAATAGGGTTTTAGATAAATATTTACCAAAAGTGTTTAAAATGAAAAACCCATATTATTTTTGAATGTTAATTTAGGAACTAATTAACTGTTTTAAAATAAATCAATACAATTCGTTTATTTTATTTTACTCCAGTATTTAAATTAATTTTTTACACACGTTCCGTTAAATTATGAATGATATAAAACTTAAAAAATATTATTTGAATTAAAACAAAAAAAGCTTTGTTAAAATTATTTAAAAAAATATTAGGGAAAAAGTATTTGTTTTTTCTTAATAGCTACCATGATTTTTTTTATGATATCATAAAAATAGCTCTAGTTCTATATTAAAAATATCAACATTTATATTAAATGAGGTTAGGTTATATCTTATAAACTATCAAAAAATCATATCACATTTTTTATGAACAACTTAATTGTTATTATTTTTTGAAGTAATAAAATTTTTTTTTTTTATATAGTTGATATCTTAAAGATGTTATAGTTAAAAAATTATGCTTTGTAATTATTTAAAGGAAAAAAAATAAAACATTTTATTCGATTGCTTTTGTTATATTTCTAAAATTCATTATTAAAATAAATAGATAATATTGTTTATAGAGTAAAAAAAATTAAAATAATGTGAATTTATTTATTCTTTTCAGATTTTTTAAATATAAATTTGGATTTATGAAAGTTAACATAATTTTGTAAAATATCCAATATTTTAATGTAAGAATGTATAGTTAAATGTATACACTTCACATAATCTATATTCATTATTTTTTTCACAGTAAATGTTAATAGTTATAAATAGAAAATCAGTTTATTAGAATTCACAATTTTTTTTAAAATACTAGTATACTGTAAGCTATGTAAAAAAATTGTTTTATGGTACAATGAAAGAAAATTAAAAATTTTGTTTACATTTTATAATTACACATATTTTGTGTATGTGTTTCCCGAGATGTATAGCAGATTTTTAATATCTTAATAATTTTTATTATTAAAGTTTATAATTTTGTATGAATTCATAATATTTTATTTAAATTTTTATAACACGTAAAAATTATATGACATTATCAATTACTCTTATTGAGTTATTTTTATAATACTGTAATACATTTAATATTGAGGTTTTTAATCAACTTTATTGTGATAATTTTGTGATTGTTGTGTAGCGTTTAATTTGTTTAAAGCATCAGAAGAACATTCATATGTACAACATTATTATTTGCTTAATATTTATAAAATGAAATTTGTTTTTTTCTGTTAGGCATTGGACTCTTGCATTATTTCAGAATCTCAGTATTTAATTTAAAATATTTATATTAGCAAAAAAAATGTAGTTTTATTCTAGGAGTTTAGTAGAATTGGTGATCCTCATTTTAGAATTATTCTCAAAGGGTCTTGAATTTTCAGAGACGCTGGGATAATTCTTTTGAAAACTAAGTTAGACTTTATGTTCATAATAAATCCAAAGAATTCAGTTTTCGAAATATTTGACATTTATAAATTATTAATAGTCAGAAAGGAGTGAAAAATAAAGTTCTCATTTAACTATTCGTTCTTTAATTATTTGGATGATGTTAAATTGTAAGCTAATGTATAATTTTTAATTTCTCAAAATTATTTGTTATATTGCGATAATAGCTTCATTGTATTTTAATATTGACACGTATTATCGCATCATTATGTCTCTGAACATTGATGTATTTTTCTGGGTATCTTTATAAAATCCAAATTGAAAGTTATTAGCTAGAATTTTACTCACTTTTAAAAATACTCTTAAACATTTTAAAATAAGTTTGGTAGACGTTCTCGAGAAAATGGCTATGAATATATTCATAAATGTATACATGTTCTAAGGACTTACATGTATGCAATTCATATAAAATTAAATAAGTTTTCGAGAAATGGTAAAGTATTATTGAAGTAATGATTGTCTGTTATTTAAATTTATGGCCAAAAACAGGAAAATCACTAATATTGTTA